TCGTGAACCGAGGTACCACTGTACTTCCTTGGAGTTTTAACCCACTGCTTCAGGTACTGTTCTTTGGGCCAATAGAGAATAAGTCCACTTCATCTTCTGCATGACACCTCATCAGATATCTGAAGGCCACTATCATATCATTCTTTAATCATCTCTCTGGTAGGCTAAACATATCCAGACCCTTTAGCCGTTCCTCTCTAGGCTGGGTTACCGGACTCTCACCATCTTGGTAGCCTTCCTGTGAATGCAGCTCCAATTTGTTACTGTCTTTTTTGACTTGTAGAGTCCAGACACAAAGGGCTGGAGTTGAATTGAACATTTACTTCTTATGCTGTGGACTCTGTGCTTCTGTTAATGTACCCCAGAATAGCATTTGTCTAATAAGGAGCCGTATTACACTGTTGGCTCATGTTTAACTTGTAGGCAACAAGGACAACCAGATCCCTGCCAGGTCACCCCCATCCTAAACTTGTGACTTGCATTTTTCTTAACCAGATGTAGAACTTTACATTTCTTCTTGTTAATTCCATTTCATTCATTTTAGCCCATTGTTCAAACCTGTTTAGCTGTTTTTAAATCTTTGTCCTCTAAACCAGTTCTCCCAGCATTAGGTCATCTGCAGATTTGTTAAGTGGAGGGACTTCAAGGTTGGGCTTGGAGTCAGCAGCAACACAATTTTTGTGAGCTCCTAAGTTTTCAGATTTTATATCTTTAGTACTATACTTCTTAGTGCTAATTATTTACAATTTTTTAATATATTGGGCTGCAAAGAGGGAGGAAAAAGCAGAAAAACAGAACATCCCTGTGAATAATTATAGTTATACAACTGTATCAGTATAGCTGAAGGTCACAACTGGTTTTACATATATGAGTTTTAATCCTCCCCTTTGGAAATTACAGCTGAATACAGACACAAATAGACCAAAAGTCTGTGAAGTTTGCCAAGTGTACTTTATTTGTCTTTATTGATTGGTCTGAAATAATTGTCAAATCAAGCTGATACCATTAATGCTCAAGTCATAAATAAAAATGGTCTTCCTGGTTCTTCAATTAATAGGTCTTCACATTACAAATAACTAAGCTGTACAACTGCTAAGGATTCCTTAAAGTTTATTAAAATAGCATGATGTAGTATGCTTGCAAGAAAGTTGGATCCCAGAAAGCAAGACTAACATAACTTACTTAGTAGGATTTAGATCATGGGTTATTTCAGCAGGGAAATTACATTCTATGGGCTGCCTTTGGGGAGCGGGGTAGCTATTTCATTAAATAGAAAATGGAATCTGGAGGCAGCTCAGATAAATCTGGACTGTGATCCCTCCTTGGTGATTCATGAAGGAGCCTGCTGTAATAATATTAGAAGTACAGTGGTACCTCGGGTTACGAATTTAATTCGTTCCGTGACTCTGGTCACACCCCGAATTGGTCACACCCCGAAGCAAATTTTCCCATAAGGTTCAATGTAATTACTGTTAATCCATTCTGGCGTCCGCGGACCAGGCAGAAGGGGCAGAAAAACGGCCGCGGACCACGTGGCAGGGGCGGAAAAACGGCCGCGGACCACGCGGCAGGGGCAGAAAATGGCCGCGGATCTGGTTCGTAATCCGAGGCGGAGTTCGTAACCCGAGGTAAATTTTTGCGGCCGGAGCTGGTCACAACCCGAAAAGTTCATTAGCAGAGGCGTTCATAACCCGAGGTACCACTGTACCAAATTTCAAAATCAGGACTAGTGAGCTTTACTGGGAAATCCAGTAGATATACTAAAAGGTAAATTTTCAGTGGATACTATTATATTAGTAGAGTTTTTAATGGAAGGATAGGAAGTAATAAGTATAACATAGCAAAATGCTTGAAACTTGATTCTGATGAACTTTATCTTCCCATATAACCTAAAGGATTCCAAAGTATATCTTTTTTTTTTATCCACACTCAGTCGTTTACTGACTCTGCAGTGACTGCTTGGATGAGTCCTTGCAGTTTTCAAGGCAAGATGTTTTTCGGAAGTGGTTTGCCAGTGCCTCCTTCCTAGAGCAGAGCCCAGCTGGCAAGCACAGGAGGCGGGGCTTCCGTTGCTTCGTGCCTTTTTCGGGTGTGCGCAGCTTCCGTGCTACCGGCAACTGCTCCCAACTCCTTTTGCAAGGCGCCGCCAGCATTTTTCCTCCCACTAGAGTGAGAGTACCCATTTATCTACTCATGTGAGTTTTCGAACTGTTGGGTTTACAGGAAC